GACTGAGGTCTAGGCTCTGACTCGGCAACCCCAAAACATCTCCCATCTCAGCGGCCCAAGCAGGTAGCTCCTTCAGAGGAGTCATAGATGTGTTGTTGGCCTCACTCCCTAGTTGGTTTCTTGTAACTACTACAGAGGAGTCATAGATGTATTGGTGGCCTCACTCCCTAGTTGGTTTCTTGTATCACTTCAGAGGAGTCATAGCTGTCTTGGTGGCCCCACTCCCTAGTTTCTTTCTTAGAACTCCTTCAAAGGAGTCATAGATGTATTGTTGGCCTGACTCCCTAGTTTGCTTCTTGTAACAGCTACAGAGGAGTCATAGATGTCTTGGTGGCCTCCCTTAGTAGTCTCTTTTGGTAACTACTTCAGAGGAGTCATAGCTGTCTTGGTGGCCTCAATCCGAAGTATCTTTCTCACACAGTCCATCAGTTTTAGAGGACAACCCGCTCTAGTCAGATGTACACGTGTCATATGCTTTCCATTTCTTAATGGTGTAGTTACAGTCAGAAGTGCTGATTCACCTGTAACTAGACACTCCACAGATAGATGTCTTCTCACTTATTGTACATTTCATATTTATAATTGAATCACATTATATTGTAAAAATCTGTTTTCATTTTAAGACGAAACAGTCTTCTCCGTGGGAATTCTTGTCAATAAAGCCAAATTAAATAGACCATGACTCAGCGTTGAAAAGCCATAAAAAGGGAAAACTTCCTGGCAAGGTGAATACTTTTTATAAGCACTGTGGACGAAAGTAACGACAACAGCTCACCTCGTGAAAAGGGAACAAGTGCTGGTTGTCAGTTTGGTTTGACAGCACAGTACTGACAACCACAGAGGACAACGGCAGCGTTAAGTGTTTTCATTGTCCTCAGCCGTTGCCAAGCTTAGAGTTCTTGGTTCCTCTAAGTGAACTGCAGTGAGGTCTAGAAGGTCTGGCCAAATAATCCCAACCAGATTGCAGGAAACAACCCTGAAACGCAACACTTCATGGTTCATCACGCTTCGTTCAACTCACGGGGATTTGAAATGAAGCCAGAAGCTCTAAATCAAAGAGGATGTTAGCTTCCCAAATCTCTGTCCAATTAATCAGCAACTTGTGATTCCATGTGACTTTGTTTACAGCCCCTGGTCTGCTTGAAATTGTGCAACAGGAATATAAACAAATCAAGTCCTCAGATTTGGAAAAAAAGTGCACTCTTCCCATCTGGTTCCGACCAAAGCAAACACGTAGGAGTGTTTGAACCCTAATATAAAGTCTGCTTTTGTTTTTCTTAATGCTGAAAAGGACACAGAGCGTATTTCAGTAGCAGCTGCTCAGATTCTCTGAATGAAGGCTGCAAAAGAGGGAAATGTTCACGTTCGGTGTTAAGATGATCATTTATTTGACTTTTTAAGATTCATATCAAGGCTCTCCGCGGCACGCTGACAGAGAGCCGAGCTGCTCTGTAGACAAACTGTCTGTCTCTGTTTGTTTAATTGGTTGTTTAGGAGGAATTTTAACCAAATTCCAGTTGGAATTTGTCTAAATTGAATTGCGGCCGAGCTGCAGAGGGCGGAGCGGCAGCAGCAGGGAGGGAGAGCGAAGGAAAATGGTTTGGCTCTGGAGCCTTACAACAAGCTCCAACAGGAAGTCATTGAACGCGAAACGCACACCCAGAACAAAACAACCACACACGCATACGAGCACACATGTGTACACAAGGCGAAAGGCAGCCGAAAGAGGGTCACTTTGGAGCGCAGTCCTCCCCCACTATGAGTCAGTGGCGTGTGTCGTTTGAAGTGTCTGTAGGAGACTTCCCAAAAGCCAGGAAGAAACCGAGGTTTTGTTGTGAGGCGCAAAAAGACTGTCAGAAAGAATCAAACGAAGGGGAAGCTGCAGCAGTAGCAGAATGACAAGTATGGAGAGAAGAGAAAGAGAAAGAAAGGTTAAGGAGATGGTGCAAAAAAAGGGACGCTGTAAAAAAAATTTAGTAAAAAATCCTGCAAAATTTAGGCAGCAAGAGCACCAGAAAAAAATATGTTTAAAAACTGTAAAAAATAAAAAAAAATAAAAATTAGTGTGAGAATAATAAAATTCTTGGCTGATTAAATACAGCAAAAATGGTGGAAATTTAGCCAAACTGTCAAAACAAAAGCATAAAAATTAAAGAAAAAAATTGAAAAAAAAAATCATTTGCAAGAACACACACACTGAAGGCTGAAACTGTTAAAAATCATAAACCAAAAAATATTAATAGTGAAAAAATAGTCAATTATATTTTGATTGGGTTTTTTTTTAACCCAGATTTTCCCTGTTTTTTATTACATATAATATCTAGTAAAATAACAGAAAGTGTGTTAACTTCCATGTTCATTATTTTAAAAATTTAAAAATAAAATACAAATTTTAGCAATTAATTCTGTTTTTTTCTGGCTTCCTTGCTGTCAGATTTTTCTACACCATTGTTTTTTGCGAAGTGTAATTTAACAAAACAGGGAAAATGTAAAAAAATCCAATTACAAACTGCTCAAAGATGTTCATTTTTTACAGTGCAGCAAGCAGAAGAGGAAACAGTGAGCCATGTGGAGAGAGGACGTGGTGATGGAGGAGTCAGGGGTCATCAGTGCACTGCCTTCAGGCGCTTTGTGTGTCTTAATGCTTATCTCACTTTGTTAAGTCCTTAAAGAAATACGCCAAGTTTTCGTAACAGCGGTCCACTGGTCAGCTTGTTAGAAAACACACACTGAGCTCCAGCTCTTAAAAACATTCCTCTGAGACGTCTGATCTTTAATCAAATCACAATTATCTGAAATCTCAGCCTTAATAAATGATAAGCAAATCCACATGGGAACACACCAGCTCCTACTGGTTGTTGGCATTTCTCTCTACATTTGGTTTCCTTCGCAGAAAAGCCAGATTGAGTCACGCTCAATTTAAACTGGATCAACCTTTAGTGCCCGAAAGTCTGAAAACTTGGAAAACTGCATTTTCACACTGGTCAAGTTCTCTCCTTTTAGATGCTGTAAATCTATTTTCTCTGCACGCTGTCATTTCGGTCGAGCTTCTCTTGTAAAGAAAACTGACTCAAGAGGGTTTCTGGTCGAACAAAGTGAAATAAAAGGTGGAAATTTAGCTGCATGCTTCCAACAAGTTCTTGTTTTTAGTATATTTGTTAACTTAAATGAAGCTGAGTGAAGTATGTAGCTGCAAGTCATTGGTTTATGGGGTGCGATGATTGCAAAACTGCTGTTTCTCGGATGATAGAAGCATCACATTGTTACACAGAAAGAGGAATAAGGCTGGAGATGTGCAATAAAACTGGAAATCTGCAGATTTCCTCAGATTTAAGTGACTAATTGCTCCAAATGTCTGTTAATTCCAAAAGATATTCCAGTTTGCCGACGTAAAGGACAAAGAAAAGCAGCTAAATCTAGTTTGGTAAATAACACCAGAACCACCTAGATCACATTTAAACCAGTTTACTTACTGACTTAAGTAGTGTTTGTCAGCGAGTCATTACTGAGTGAATTTTAGGACTATTGCAAAAGTTTTTACTTCCAACCTTGCATACAGTTTGTTCAGTGAGCTTTAGTCGATGCACTAAACAAACCCCGGTGTAGCAGTTTCTGTTGCATTCAGGTGTTCATTTCTAGTTTTTAGTCATAAATCCATGATTATTTGAGTTCATTATGTCAATAAAATGATTAAAAATGCAATAAATAAGTTTCTGAAACAGTAAAACTGACAGAAATACGCCAATTTCTGGTCACATGGCAGACTTTAGTGGAGAGCAGGACGGAGGTAGAACCAATATAGATGCAGAGTTCAGACATGTGCTCCCAGAATAATCACATTCAGCATGCAGAGGCCACACGGTGGTGTTTATATAGAAAGATCAGAGCTGAATGTGAAAAATAAAGAGCCTCAGAAGTCTCATTGTTCGCCTCATGCAACTATTTAGTCTTATTTTGTTTTGCTGTTGTTGTTTTTTTGGGACAATGTGATGCGTTTTCCGTGACGTTCTTTGATTTAATTTCTGTTATCGGGGCTTTAATCAGACCACAAGATGTCCATTATGAGAGTTTTTATCTTTTTTCCTCAGTGTCATGCTACGTAACCTGTAGATCGGTCCACTACGAGCAAACTCCAAGACTTCCTCGAGGATTCTAAGCACATATCGGTGTCGTGTTATGATTCTGGATTTAACAATGAAGCATCTTTGACTTGTGCTCCCTGGTGCATCCAAACATCCCATCCCCGTCCCCCTTCCTCCTCCTCAACCACTTACTCTGGAGGGGGAAACAAGAGGCTGCGAGATAGACATGCACATGTTTTCGAGTGTTCGCACACTTAATCACCAGCATAACTATTTCCTGGGAATTCCCTTTGAGAGACAGACACAGAGAGTTAGTGTGTGCGAGGGAGAGGAAATCAAAAGGACGTGGCGCTGGCTGTTTGCGTGACAAGACCCTGGTTCGCACACAGGAATCCTGTTATTGCTCTTATAATCGTGCCTGCTGCAGTTTGCATGCACCACACCTGATCATATTGTAAATCCAGCGCTCAGGGAGAGGTTCTTCACTTCCAGCCCTGGGGAGTGTTAATCATTGATGGACTGCAAAAACCCCCACGCAAACACTATTATTAAGGTCAATGACACCCACGGGGCATGCCCAGGTTGTGCAGAAATATGCACAAAGCATGCACTCAGGAATCAAGACAGGTGCTTTCCTCTCCTTAAAAAAAAAAAAAAAAAAAGGGGAGGAAGTACAGAAGAGGGCATGGAAGGAAAACCGGCTCGACCAGAATTCTGCACTCACACTCAAGCTGGAGAGAAACTTTTTCCCTTTTTTTTTTTTTGGTGTCTGATTAACACCTGCACACACACACACACACACACACTCACACATATGCGCGCGATCTCCCACCAAACACGCGCGTCCCTGCAGGGCCCTTCTGTCAAAAAGCTGCCTGTCAAGAACCACTTTTGCAAAAAACTTTCCCCTCCGCTCACCTCGTCCCATTTGATGAACTTGCCCCCCTTCTTGAGCGCTTCGTGGACCGACACTGGCTTCAGCTGCAACGCGTGGACTCCCGGCTTGGCCCCGGCCATGACGAGGGACTCCCTGCCCGGGTGCCAACGCCTAAACCCCGGCTACGGCGAGCTGGACTCCTCGGAAGGGAACAGAAGTGCTTCCTCCTGCTTCCACCCCCGCAGCTTCTCTCTTTATTTTTCTTTTTGTTTTTCCACTCTCTTCTTTTTCCAGGAATCGGGAAGTTGAATGAGACAGAAAGGGGGAAGGAGCTGTCTTTAAAAGTTATTGACGCTCACTTTGGAGAACATGAGGAGTGTGAAGGAGAAGAAAAAAGAAAACTGATCCAGAGCCGCTTCAGCGCCGCTGTCTTGTCTTGTCCGCGTCCACGCAGCGCGGACGCGCGCCTCTGATTCCCCACTTTTATTTGAAATTCTACCAACAACGAGCTCCGGTGCGTTTACAATCCCGTCCGATCCCTTCCTTCCTTCCTTCCTCCCATCTGCTCCTCTTCTCTACCAACTTTCTCCGCTTCCTCTCTCTTCCTCTTCTTCTTCTGCTCCTGTCGCCTCGTTTCTTGCTTTCTCCTCCTCCTCCTCGCCTCCCTGCATGTTTTCTGCAGAGAGGGGGGAAAAAAAGAAAAAAAGAAAAAAGATTTGGAGAGAAAGAGTGAGAGAGTGAGTGAGGAGGACGGCGTCAGATAGCGCTGAGTGAATGAGAAATGATAGAGAAAGGAGGGAGTTGTGTAAAATGGGTGTGTTTTAATTCAGTTCCTCTGTCTGGCTGCTTCTCTTTCTGCCTGAGCTGTAAACAGAAAGCACACCTCATGCACACATTCTGGGATTATTGAGCTTATATCAGGTGATCAATTCTGCAAAACTCTCAAGAATCCACCCAAACTGCTTTAATATTTCACCCTGCAGGAGGCAGTTAAAAGGAAATCAGCACAATCAGAGCAGAAAAAAATCCACATATCCAGACTTAACTGACCTCTGATCACTCATTGAAGTTATAACTAGGCTGGATCCTACATTTCCCATGATGCAACCCTAAAGTGTCATTCAACAGTGCTACACACACCTGAGCTACTTTTTAAATTCACTGTGTTTATCCGACAGTTTTCTTCACAAATGGAGATTTTTTTTTTGCAAACTAAACCACATGAAAAGCCTTTTTAATAGCAAACAGTTTACACGAGCGCAGCTGGAATGATTGTGCAACTCTTCGCTGCGTGGAGCTGCTCAGATGGAGCGCTTGTGGTGGGATTTCTCTGGATTTTTTTAGGATTTTTTTTTTTTTTACAAACTAAGCAATCGATTATTGACAGAAAAAGTTTGTTGGATATAAAACCAAATAAAGAGAGACGGTAGATGAGAAATGCTATTCTCAATAAACAAGACCTGTTGGACCAGCGTCAATAAACTGCTTTAATTGGAAACACCCTGTTGAATTAAGTTCAACCAGATTAATAAATAATATGAATGTCATTTTTTTTAGTTACATCAACGTAAATCATCTGATTCCTCTCAAATGATGCAACTTCATTCTAAGGAAGGCCAGTTTTTCCTGCTTAAATTTGTGTTTTCGCCCATTTTTTTTTAGTTTTCTTTACTCTATAATCCCACTCGAAGAAACTGGAAGTTAAGTTGCAGCAGAAGAATTTATAGAAGCAGAGCAAAAGGAGCAGCAAACCTGATTTTCAAACTTTAGTTGCAGTTAAAATACCAGTTAAAAGGCTCAAAGTGTAACTTCTAGTTGATAGACTCCAGATAAGTGGACATTTACTCCTCCAACTCCAGCTCAGACACACTTTTTTCAGTGTACACTTCCCACAATGCAACTCTGAACTGTCTTTCAGACACTCTTCAGCCACAGAAGAGCAGCACTGGAAGGTGATAAGTACCTTTACTCAGCAGCCCACTGCACTGAGGTGCATCTGAGTCTTTTCCTTCTACTTTTACTCCTTTACATTTCTGAGGAAAGCACTTTTTATTCTCCTGCATTTGTCCTGCAGCTTTAGTTAGTTTGCAAACCGAACTGTTTACATGAGTACAGCTGAATCGATTATTAGCTTCATCAGTTAGTCAGCTAACAGAAGCACTAGTTAGATAGTTGTTCAGAGCACTCGTGATGGCATTTCTTAGTGTTGTTAGAACTTTTACAGACCAACCATTCAATCAGCTATCGGAAAAAGTTATTAGTAGTTGAAGTTGGGTGCAGCTGCTACTGTAAAATCCAGCTTTTTCTGTAGTGAAGAGTTATCACATGCTTTTACTTTTAATACATTTTCATGAAAATGCTTTTTTATGCGCTTTTACAGCTAAGGATGTGAATTCTTCTTCCAGGACAATGTGCTGCTGTTTCCAGGCAGTGCATTACTTCTCACTCCGACTTATTTAACCCTGATGTGCAAAATCAGTGGAGTGCCCCTTTAATGAGCTCTCAAATACTTGAGCCTTCAGCAGAGCAGATATGAAAGCGAAGGAGCTATCACGAGTCTGTCAGAGTGAACCGGAGCCCGGTGCTACACACAAATATAAAACCCTGAGTAAATATTGTAGTGTGCATCCACATACCTCACATACCTCGTATCCACCTACCAAAGGTGTACGATGAGGAGTCGCCAATATGCACCGCTTTGGTTCAAAGGTGTCATGTGTCATATTTCCACACTGAAATGGCTAAAAAGATGTAATATAGTTTGTTCACTTGTGTGCTTTGTGTTCAAACAGAGAGAAATCTGCCATTTGTGTCGTTGTTCCTTTCTTTCTGTTGTTCACTTGATTTTAATCGGACTTACATGTCAGGCAACATCGACTATAAATCTCCTTTCTTGTGTCAAAGCACCAAAGCTTCATCTTCCGTTTCACTTTGCCAACAAGGAAGATGATTAAATTTAATGAGTCAAGCAGGTTCGATTGTGTTGTTGTAGCCAAAAACCAATAGTTGGGCATCTGTGGTTCTGGTGGTGGAGCGAGTTAGGCTGAAGGTTCGATCCATGTGCCCGAGTGTTCTAGGGTAAAACGCTGAGACCCGTAGCACTATCGGTGCTGTGAGTGAATGGGTGGATGGGAAATACGTTGTAAAGCTTTTTGAACTCAGCTCAGTACGGATCATTTTCAAACAAACCCATGTTGAACTGCGTTGTGAGTTTAGTGTTAGTTTGCGCCAGATGTTCTCCTCAGGATGTTACACCTTTGACTGCAGCCCCAACCAAACATGCCCCAGACCTGAGGCACCTTATTTTGTAGTGAAAAGTGTGGGTTTTTCCACTTTTAAAACTGCTGTTTCGAGGTGCTGCGATAGCTCAACCAGTCCCCATGTTCTGGGGCTGTAGTCCCCGATGCAGAGGTCATGGGTTCAAGTCCCGCTCATGGTCCTTTCCTGCATGGTCCTGTCTCTCTCTCGACTTTCCTATCAAATAAAGGCAAAAAGGTCAAAAAAAAAAACTTAAAAAAACCCCCAAAAACTGCTGTTTCTTCCCTTCGTGTTAGCTGCAGACCCACGTCTCATCATCACATAACATTGGCTCATCTTGGGCTGCTTCTTTGCGAATACACACCCGCTAGCAGTCACCAAAATGTGTAGTGTTGCGTTCTTGTTACTCTCAGCAGTCACTGCTTGCACTTGTTGCACGCCACAAACAGTCTTGGAAGTTTTCGATCACACCGTGTGCAGCAGCTGTCGACTCCTTTAATAATAAGTTAGCCGTTAGCATTAGCCAACTTATGCTTATGCTAGCTTATTAGCTTATGTTGTTTGTGGCTAATTTGTGAGAATGAATCAAATTTCAATACCTTGTCCGAAGGCATTATTTCTGCCAGATCAATTTTATCGACAAAGACAACGACTCCCATGATCCCACGTTACATCACAAAGTCATCAAACTACATTTTTGTTATTGCTTTGATTGAGAGACCCCTAGTGGCAGGAATTAGGAACTACGCTTAAAAGAAGCACAACATTTTTTTGCTTTCTTGCAGAGAATGTATAAACATGAGAGTGATTCTATCATTTAAGTGTTTCCTGAAGTGACAAACTATTCCCATAAAGGGCCACAAGCCAAGAAAGTCAGAGAACGAGTTACATAAATGTGTGTGAGGTCCTTCTTTAGTCCACATCACATGTGCACACGCAGGTGCAAGTGGAAACATAAGCGACTTTTCCTCTGTGCTGTTGTTCACTGCAGGGTGCAAAAGTAATTACAGGGCTCTTTTAATTCTTATAATTACCTTTGCCTTTCATTGATTTAGATATTTACCCCTGGTGTTGACAGTGACAGATTGCTGGCACAGTCCGTCACATTATTAAAACACAGTTATCGGAAATACACAAGCAGCAAGTGGTTCGGCTTCTACGGCAGTCAGACTGTGAGACTGAGGCCATGTTTTATAAATGATGCCACCAAATCTGCATGACAAAAACAGGAAATTATTTAGAGGATTTGTGGGTAATTGAAGCTGCTGAAAGTGGTCAGGTAACTTTCCCCTCCCTCTTCCTGATCGGTGGCGACGTATCATGTTTTAAGCAGCGTGAGAGCAGAGGAGGCTGCACAGCCACGGTGCGATGCCGTCCAAATCCCGCTGCCAAGCAACATTACAACTTGGACTTCTCGTAAAAAAAAAAAAAATGCTGCGGAGCAACAGATTTTTTTGGCAACCGTTGCCATTCTCCAACTCCCTAACTACACCCGGCAGGAATGTCTGCTATGCTGCAGCCTGCTGACTGACACGGTGCCTCGCTCTCGGTGAGTGTGTTTCCTTTGACCAAACCAAAGTGAGGAAGAGGAAATCCAAAAAGACAGTTCACAAGAATCACTCAGACACATGGCTGCATAGTTGCATGTAGAAAGCATCAGTGTTACATGACCCTGCACACAACCAGCAGGATCGTTGAACAATTTAGTAGCAGGAACACACTGACATTAGTGTGTTTGTGTGTGTTTGTGTGTCTCTGGGTACATCTGAGCTCAGTGTGCTTGAATCCAGGCAGTAACTGAGTCCAGGTAGACTGTTGATTAATCTGATCTGGAGCCAACAAACACGCTCCTGCTCGGCCTCTCACATGACAACAAACAAAAAACAGGACGGACACATGCATATGCATTCTGTCAACAGTGCAGCACACACATGCATAATCAGGCCACATATTGTGTTTCTGTTCCTCATATACACAAAACCCCACCTGTCTCAGAAACACACACTGTAAAAACACTTCAGTAGAAACAGGATGCCAGAAAAATATGTTTCAAAAAATACTGTAACATTGAAAAATAATGACAAATATCTGTAAAATAGTATTTTTTAATCTGATTAAAGGAACAAATTGATGTTTTTTTCAGTTTTTTTAAGGTCAACATGTACATTTATACTTTTTAAGGGATTTTAATGGTTATTATCTCTAATTTAACCAAACACAAAAAAGCTGCAAATAACTGTTGTTATAGTTATTATATATTTTTAAAGCATTTTTTAAAAAAAATCTTGAATATAAATCACTTTGATTTTAATAACAGCAAATATCTGTAAAACAGCAA